AGAGAAGACAATCGTAATGAGCGTTGAGCAATGGTAAGGAATTTTGTCTAGTCGCGAAAGTTTCGAAGGAGTTATAAATCTCGAAGGTTCTGCAAAATTTGATTGCGGAAGTTCCGGGGTTCGAACAAAATAGGTCACTGCGGGCAAGGGGGGGGGGGAAGAAATGAAAGGATGACGGTAATGAACTGTGTGCGATGGTGAAGTAATTGGTCTAGTGGCGGAAGTTTCGCAAAAGTTGTAAATCTCAGAAAATTAACAAATCTATTGTGGAAGTTCCGAAGAAGTTTCGCAGCACTTTTGCAGGGTTCTGACAAAATAGATACTGCGGGGAGGAGGAATGGAAAGATAATCGTATCCGTAATGGACCGTGGGAGATGGTATAATTGGCCGGGGTCGGAAGTTTCGCAGACATTACAAGTTTTAGAATTTCTGCAAATTTTGGAAGTTTCTAGTAAATTTTGCGGCAGTTTTGCAGATTTTTGACAAAAAATGTTTGATAATCTCCTTATTGCCATACTAGGCATGAGTTAATGCAAAACTGGCAGCCTAACTTAGCAAGAATGAATGCCATAAACATAAGTTGTCCAAATCTGATTGCGGAAGTTCCGGGAAAGTTTTGCAGCATTTTTGCAGGAGTTTGACAGGACAAAGCATATTGTCACCTATATTACACTAAATCAGCATCTGATACGGGAAGATTTCAATAATTTTCTTGATTCAAAAATTCTGCTTCAAACGCAGAAGTTCCGCAGAAGTTTTGCAGGGTTTTGACAGAAATGCTAAGTATCATCACTTATATAGTGGGTTTAATCTTGGACAAAGCTGGCGCTTTTAGCAGGAAAAAAGACGAAAAATTCAAATCTTCAGTTCAGCTGACATAAATCGTACCTCGGCTGACACGCTATCCGAGATCACTCTCGAATCGACGATATTTCCCTCAGGCAATGTGACAACCACGGTGAACAGATGACGACTTTCGGCGCTATCCTCATCCTGTTCGGCCGTAGAATCGGACCACGTATGCGGTGGTGAAAGTGACGAACCTTCGACACGAGATCCACGTCGGCCCTGGAACGAAAATCTCATCTCTTTCAAAGTGT